CTGCAAGAGGCAACTACTCAATGTGTCTCTATGGGCTCTCTCCCTCTCCCCTCCTTTCCACTTTCTCTAAAAATAAGTGGGAAATATCCTCAGGTGAGGATTCACAAAATTAACTGAATAAAGGAATCTTATGATTTCTTAAAAAAATATAAAGAAGGAAAGAAATGGTAAGAGGTCACCCCAGAGCCCGGCTAGTGTTATTCATTGGTTGAGCTTCGACCTATGAACCAAGAGGTCAGTGTTGGAATCCTGGTCAGATCACTTGCCTGGGCTACTGCCTGGATCCCTAGTAGGGGGCGTTCAGGGGCAACCAATTGATGATTCTCTCTCATCACTGATGTTCCTATCTCTCTTGCCCCACCTTTCGTCTCTGAAATCAATAAAAATATATTTTAAAATAAGAATAAATATTGAAAAGGAAGAGAGAAGTAAGGCTTGTGGTGTTTGACCTGCCCATGCCCCACCCCATCCCCAGTGTGACTGCACTTTCCAAGTTGTGGTGGCCGCCTTCCCAGAGGAACAAGTGACCACAGTCCCAGATTCCTGTGTCTGTCTCTCCTCACCTGTGGCTGTGGGAGGATGGACACAGGTGGCCGCTCTCCTCTGAGAAGGGCGGTGCTCACCTGCCCCCATGGATGACTTGGTGCTTCAACTCTTTTCCCAGGATTTTGCTTCCAAGACCCACCGTAATCCTTTTGTTTTATCTTTTTCATCCTCACCCAAAGATATTTTTCCATTTCTTTTCAGAGAGAGAGTGGAAAGGACAGAGGGGAAGAGAGAAACATTGATGTGAGAGAAACACATCAATTGGTTGCGTCCTGCATAAGCTCTGTCCAGGGCAAGGACCAAGGAGGAGCCTAGAACCAAGGTACATAGCCTTGACCAGAATCGAACCCGATACCCTTTAGTTTAAGGCCAACACTTTATACACTGAGTCACACTGGCCAGGGCCAGGACTCCATTACAAAAAATTACTTTATTATTTTATTTGTTTCTGTTAATAATTTTTTATTGTTGAAAGTACCACATATGTCCCCCTTTTACCCATTGATCCCATCCAGCTGGCCAGCCCCTACCACTCAATGGGAATCCATTTTTAAATTATGGAAATTCTCCCAATTTGAGGGGCTGGAAACAGGACTTTGCACACGAACAGCAGGGAAGTTGAGGGAAATCTGTGCCTTTGGGAGGCAGCTGTGTGCCTGAGAGAGTGGCAGCAGGTTTGAGAGGGAGGCTGCGGCCACAGCGTGCAGCTCAGCCTTTCCTGCCTCCTCACATGTAGAGGTTCGAGTTTTGTGGAGGATCTGACTGAGGAAAATAACAGAGAATCTTTCAGCTTCAAAATAAAAGCATCATCCAATGCACATTCTTTTTTTTAATATATTTTATTGATTTTTTACAGAGGGGATTGGAGAGAGATAGAGAATTAGAAACAGCGATGAGAGAGAAAAATTGATCAGCTGCCTCCTGCATCCCCCCACTGGGGAAGTGCCCACAACCAAGGTACATGCCCCTGTTCTGAATCAAACCCGAGACCTTTCAGTCTGCAGGCCTATGCTCCATCCATGAGCCAAACCGGTTAGGGCCCAATGCACATTCTTCAGTCTAACGCTCTCCCAACTGAGCTATTTCAGCTTGGCCTCCAATGCACATTCTTATTCCCAAACCCCAGAAAGGCAACATGGCCCATGGCGGGTGAAAGAGAGCAAGAGGAAGCCCCATCCATATGCCTCTGGACAGCACCCCTGGGTCCTCATCAAAATCCCAATAAAGGAGGACTCTCAATCCTGGAAGCTGCCTCCAAAGGAATGAGGTCAGGGTGACGAGTCTCAGGAAAAAATGGAGGAAGGGTGGTCAGGACGGGACCCCCTGTGGCCAGTATCCTTGAGTCCTTTCCCATCTGGGGTCGCCCCTAGGATGACAAGGTCAGACATGCAGCCCAGGGTCCCAGCTGCACCTTATATGCAGACTCCATGCAAATGGGGCTCTCCTCCTGCTCATAAAAGGGGGCCCTTGCCCGGCATGTTGGGGAGACACCCAGTACCCAAGCGCCTGAGACAGGACCCCAGCGGCTCCACCATGGACTTGGTGCCAAGCTGCGTTTTCCTCCTGATCATTTCTCAAGGTCATTCTCAGGAGTGGGGAGCGCTGAGACCTGTGCCTATGCCTGTTGGTGCTTCCATGTGATTCTCAGTCCACCTTGTGTCTCTGTGTTTGCAGGTGTCCAGTGTGAAGAGCAGCTGGTGGAGTCTGGGGGAGGCCTGGTGCAGCCTGGGGGGTCTCTGAAACTCTCCTGTGCAGCTTCTGGATTCACCTTCAGGGACTATGGCATGAACTGGGTCCGCCAGGCTCCAGGGAAGGGGCTGGAGTGGGTCGCATACCACTACATTGATAGTTTTGGTAGTAGTTACATATACTACGCCGATTCTGTGAAGGGCCGCTTCACCATCTCCAGAGACAACACCAAGAACACGCTGTATCTGCAAATGAGCATCCTGAGAGCCGAGGACACGGCCGTGTATTACTGTGCAAGAGACACAGTGAGAGGAAGTCAGTGTGAGCCCAGACACAAACCTCCCTGAGGAGACAGCAGGGTTGGGCTGCAGGGGGCGCTCAGGACCCATAGCACAGAGAGCAGCCTCAGGAGCAGGGGCAGAGGGAGGTGGGGAGTGAGAGGCCGGCCTTCCTGTTGGGCACAGGGATTTCCTCTCAACCTCTCAGCTGCCTCCAGGGATGGCTCTTCCTTCTCATGTTCTCACTGCAGAAAACAGTGAAGAAGGGACATGTGTTTGCAGGTGACATGTTGGCAGGGAGTGGGGACTCTCCTTCACCAAGTCTCTGTGTTTTCTATTTCTCTTTCTCCACAAGGAGACCATCCTCAGTGCTCTCCTTTTCCTGGGTTTGGGAAACGTTCCCACCAAGATGGACCCCAGTGCAGCCCAGGCCCCTGTGTGCTGACCTCAGGCCTCTGTCCCCACGTTTCCCTCTGACAGGCCCACCTGGGCCACCACAATGGTGATCATCCCCCAGGACCTCCCACCACAGCTCTCGGTCTTCCCTACCAAACACTTCCCTCCTGGTCCTCATTCACTCAAGTTTATGTGCAAACCCATCCCAAAGTTTGGCTTCAACGATCACAAAACCTTTGGTCTGATTGCCTTTGTTTCCTCTGAAGGGGACCCTTGTGGCTACAGG